ATTTGAGCAACAACTACGTATAAACATTTTCAATCCTGGTGTTATTCATACGTCACTCCAATGCGAGCAACAAGTCAGGTATTATTCAACATATGATTGATATCAATTATATGATTTTTTTGGGTGAGTAACATAATTTTATTGTTACATACTTATATGAATGATTTTGATGTAAGTATGTGATTTACAGAGGTTGTGAAGCTGGCAAGGCCGGGAGAGGATTTTTTTGAATATTGATGTCATTTGTTGTTGAGGAAAGGATTTTTGTAATAACATATTGTTAATAGGTTATTTCCAGTATAAACAGATTGTTAATTATAATAGTAGGACTTAAATTTTCAATGTAAACAGTGTTGTTAAGTATAGGAATGTAATGTCTTTAAGTTTTCATGCTATGTTGATATCAATCATTAAGGATTTGGGACACACTATGGTTTTGCATAACTTAAATCACAACAAAATTTAGTTGTGTATATAAAAAATCAAACAATTTTAAGTATAACACCAAGACTTCTGTTGCGGATTTGCTGCACTATTCTTCTGTGGTTTATGTTGCCTTGTGCTCTTTCTGAATCTCTGTGTGGCTGTGATTTTGCTTTTAGTGGAACTGGGCATTTGGTTTGCTTTTGGAGAATGTGTTCTTTGCCAATCTGTTGTTGCTTCACTTTGTTGGTGTGGGGTGGTGTCTTGTGAGGGCTGGGGTTTTTTTGAATTGGTTCAATCTCTTTCGGAAGCATGGATTTATTGTGAAGTATGGAGGGTTTTTTTTTTTTTTTTCCTGCACTTTATGTTTGTGCCTTATATAGGCTATGTTTTACTGTTTTAAGGATGTATTCTATAGGTTCTTAAACAGTTCTGCAACACTGTTTAATTGTTGTTGGGGAGAGGATTTTTGTAATAGCAGGTTGTTAATAGGTTGTTTCCAGTATAAACAGGTTGTTTAATTATAATAGCAAGACTTAAATTTTCAGTGTAAACAGTGTTGTTAAGTATAGAATGTAATGTCTTTAAGTTTTCATGCTCTGTTTATATCAATCATTAAGGATCTGGGACACACCATGGTTTTACAGAACTTAAATCACAACAAAATTTAGTTGTGTTTATAACAATATTCAACAATTTTAAGTATAACACCAGGACTAACAATTTTAAAAAAATCAAACAAGATTAATATCATACAAAATGAAACAATATAATACAGAGGAGATCCGAGGGCATACACTCGCCTGAGAAACATAAAAGGCGAAAAGAGAACTGTTCCATTCTGTCTCCGATACTCTCTCCAACGCACTTTCCCTCTCTAAAGCCTGTTGAAATTCGACCCTCCCCAACGGTAAGCTCAAAACGCAAAAAGACATCGATTTGGTCTAGGCGAAGCTGGACTGGCACATCAAAGACTCCGACGTTTTGATCAAGAGCGGGGTGCTACACGACGACGCCGTTCTGAGGTCGTTGAAGAGGGAGTTTGTACGAGTCGAGGCTCGAAACTTAATAACTCGGTTGCAGATTGGGAGCGCCGAGTTGAAGAACTCGGCGTTGGACTCACTGCTGGGGTTGCTTCAGGATGACGACAAGAATATGTTGATTGTGATGGCGCAGGGGATCGTCCCGGTGCTCGTCGAGCTCAATGCCGAAAGTCAAAGAGAAGACCATCACAGCCGTCGCTAGGGTCTCGATTGTGGATTTGAGCAAACACATCTTGATTGTCGAAGAACTGTTGCTTTTGAATCATCTAGTTAGGGCAATGAGGAGAGACAAAGAAAGTGGAATGGATTTCAATCTTTATTTTGAAATTTAAAATTTGAAATAAGTTTTTTTTTTTTTTTTTTTTTTTTTTTTTAACGAAGTTTGAAAAAGAAAGTAGACAGAGTTAACTTTTTATCAGTTAACTTTATGTTAGGAGTTAACCTGGAAAGTTGGAAAAATGTCACGTTTTATATTGGATGGGGATAGCATGTTGGCATGCTAACGGGGTACCCTTGGGGTACTCAATATTCTCTCAAAATGTTCAATGCCTACACTTCATTTGGATAAATATGAGAGAAAAAATGGTAAAAAAAAAAAAAAAAAATGAGATAAAAGAATTGATAGCATCACTTATAAGAGAAAATAAAATAAAAAATAATAATTACCTTTATTCATGTTTATCTAAATTATGAGAGAAAAAAAGAAAATGATATTATTTTTGTTTTGAAAAAATAGAGATAGAAAATAAATGATAAGAATTAAATTACTATTATAACTCTTTTATAAAATATTATAAAATGAGAGTTAAACGTTATAAGAGGGTAATTTATGAATTATGAAAATATTATTTACTCACTATCCTTTCCTTTGGAATATTTTCAGTTTTTTGGAGGATTATAGGATAGCACATGGGGGTTTTGCTATCCCTCCAAATTTCTCCTAATCATATCTTTTCTCTACACTAAAAGTTATCCAAACACGATTTCTACTATATTTATTTTTTATTTTTTTTTGTCAAATCACTCAATCCAAATGAAGATCTAACTTAATTTTAACTCGATGAGCAACTCAAATTATTTAACTCGAGCGCAATTTATTCTTAAAATTTTAAATTCGGATTGAGATTTGGAGTCAATTCGGATTGTCCATATATCAATCTCCACATAAAAAATTTAAAATGATCTTTAATTATTTTCAAATTAGATCGCTCCTAAACATAATTTTTTAAAAACACATACAATAAATCAAGTTTTAAACAAAAGAATTTAAAAAGAAAAATGTGATTGTTTTTTAATATTACATATAAAATATTTAAAATAACAAATATGTATAAAAATAATATTTAAATTTGAATTTGGATTGGGCTTGAGTTTTTGACACTCAACTAAAACTCAACCCTAATTAAGTTTGGGTTGAGATTTATTGACCCAAAACCAACTTTGTTTGTAAAAACAATTGTTCAAATCCATAAAAAATCGAGTTGGACTTAAGTTAAGTTTGGGTTGGGTTGGTTCATCCAAATTGCATTTTAGGTATTTGTAATTTAATAATAGTGAAAATATGGTATTTATTGTCTCTTATTACTTCTTTTTCTTTAGCATTGCTCATTACAATCGAACAAATTTACTTGGAACTCCATTTTTAAGAAATAAATTACAATAAGTATAAAATTATTCATCCAATTTTATTTGAAATTGATAATGGTATGTTTTTTATATATATATAAAAAAAAAAATTTGTTCATCAAACTTTTTGATGTATGAGACGGGATATCCCCGCCCTCCGAACCCGACGTGAAAGTCTCCCCTCATTCGGCTCTCTGTAGGGGAATCTCCACTCATTACTTCCCATAATATCCTCCATTTACCATATGATAGGGGTTTACAAGAGATCTCAGAGGCGCGCTCGGAAAGGCTGTTATACCATACCTTTTTGACTCAACTCTACTCTAGCAGTCACTAGACTCACTATAGTAGCCCGTCCGGTTGCTCTTGCTGAAATCATTACTCTTCATTATCCCGTGCTTTAGCAATTGCACTCCCTAAACCACTACTTTGTAGTTAGGTAGGGACAATCAATCCTTAGTGACGGGAATGACGGAATGAATGGGGATCCCTATCAATGGCAAGCCTTGGTGTAACGTAACCGTAAGATTGTTCCATTACATTAAGAGGTTGAAATTCAAACACAAGCTTACAATGAAGCTTTTCCTATCTTCTTGAGAATTTTAATCGATTTTTCAACAGTCGTAGACACGATCTACAAAATAAACAATATTTACACATCAGCATGGGTGTTGACATAAACAAGTTTTCTTCTTCTTTACCCACAAGCTTTATGTTTTAAGAAAATGATTGAAGTCATTGTTTTGTTCAAGGGTGGATCCAGGAATTGAAAATGGGGTTGGCAAAAATTAAACATAAATTTAATAACACAATTTCTTAAGCAAATTTTTTTTTTTTTTTTTTATAACATAATCTATATAAATATTTGAATTCAAAGATTACATAATCTATATAATTTTATTTTATTTTTATAACATAATCTATATAAATATTTAGGTGGGCTAATACTATTAATTAATTAATAATAATATTATTTTTTTTGGGGGGGGGGGGGGGGGGGGGGGGCTGGGCTAAATTTACCAATAGTAATAAATTTTTTTTTTTTTTGGGGTGGGTTGGAGCCCAGCCCAACCTTAGATCCGCCATTGGTTTTGTTTTGTTTTATTTATTTATTTTTTGTTATCTATTGATAGAAACACTTTAATGGCAGTGGAATTACTCTTACTAATGATAAGTTTGGTTGTAGGAAATGATTGAGGAGGGATGGATGAGAGAACCTTTTTTTTGTTTGGTTAGAGAGAAAAGAAGAGAGGGAGCAAAAAAGGAGGTATCCTTTCTTCATATTTTTCTATCTTTCTATGTGCCCAATTTTGGGGGAAGGAAGGAGAGAGAAAGTAAATAACTACTTACAAATATATAATTTATAATTTAAACATTTTCAAAGAAATTGAAATCTACCTTTTATTATTTTATACAGTGAGGAGAGAGAAAGTGAATAACTACTTACAAATATATAATTTACAATTTAAACATTTTCAAAGAAATTCAAATCTCCCTTCCCTTCCTTAGAATAAAAAATAATTAATATATATCACCCCATTTACCATTTTTGCTATCCATTTCATTCAATCAAGCAAAAAATGGGGAGACAATTTTCCTTCCTTAAGAAATTCTTATCTATCCCTCCCCTGTCTCTTCCATATATTTTTCTATCCCTCAGACCAAACAAGCATAGAAGTGTTGACAATATCTATTACCCATTCTATTCAACCAAACCAACCAAAAATGGAGAAGTAGCGAACTTTGGATCTATACAGCCTGGGGCAGGCAACACCGCCCACCTGGCTGTTTCTTCCCCTTCTTTGATAGTTCCCTTGTCATAATCCTTAGCGGGCTGAATAAGATCCAATAATATGTTATCAACCCAATAATCTTATGGGCCAAAATCCAACCTGCGCCACAACAACTCTCACGAGTCACGAACCGCAATAAGCCTCCATATATTACTCGTATCTTCAAAGCCCTAACCCTAAATTCCTAACTCTCTTCTGGTCGTCGCGCTCTCGCCCAAACACCGAATACAGTACACCCGTCCCCGTCGGAACTCAGAAAAGCAACAATCAGCCATGGGTAAGCTCGACACCTTCTATACTCGGATCTCTCGGTACAATTAAATCTAGGGTTTCCAATTTTGCGCTTCTAATTCTTTATCATGCGTGTTTGATCCGGTTGATTAATGGGTTTGGGGCGAGTATTTGTGCAGGAAAAGTTCACGGATCGCTGGCTCGTGCCGGAAAGGTGAGAGGGCAAACTCCGAAAGTGGCCAAGCAGGACAAGAAGAAGAAGCCCCGTGGCAGGGCTCACAAACGCATGCAATACAATCGACGATTCGTCACCGCCGGTAATTTTTCTCATTGTCCCATAATATATGTATATGTTTGTGTATAATTCATATTTATGGCCATATATGTAGTTGTGTATATATATATATATATTTATTTATGTGTAGAAGTATTCTTATAGTGATGCTTATACTCCTTGAGTTTTATATGGTTAGCACTCTTCAATAAACCCGTAATCACTCCGTGAGCAAAATATATTTGTACATAGTACTAATGTTACTTTGGCTATTGCTCTTATTAGATTGATAACAAACATCAATGAGGCTTGTTGAAGTACTCTGATGTCCCTATTACTAGTGAATTTTCATATTCACTATCTATTTTTCTTTTCCTCAGTAACAAAAATGAGTGAGAACCCCATATAATGTACTTTAAAAACTTGTTCCGATGCTAATTGCTACATGTGATAAAAAAAACCATTGGCCATTAGTCCCGCTGGTATAATATCTCCCCTCTCAAAGGGGTTCAAAGGGGAGGTGAAAACCGCATAGTGGGCATTTGTGGGTGTTTGAGCAAGTATTTACCCTACCAAAGAATAATACAATAAAAAATAAAAATAAAAAAAACTTGTACTGATGATGATGTTTATAAATGTGTTGTTTGCAGTTGTTGGCTTTGGGAAGAAGAGGGGTCCAAACTCATCGGAGAAGTAGGCTTTGAACGCAGTAGCAGTTTGGAGACAATTGCTGGATGGATTTCCAATGAATTGTTAACTATCAGTCTTTTACTGCATTTTAGTTAACTGGAGTTGCTATTTTTGCAATTTATATTTTGCTGAATTTTATTGGATTTGTGCGTTGTTAGATAAAAAGTGAATTTTTGTTTCTCAATGTGTTGAATTGAAGTGGTGGATTTGTATTCTGGTACGAATGTATTTGCTACTAAATCAGCATTTCTTGTTATGATTGCAAAGCAACGTGCATCTATAGCTAGAAACCTGCAACTTGAAACTTGAGAAGAATATTGAATAATAAAATCCACAAAATGGCAGTTATAGGTCAGCAAGCATGCTGTTAGATGTTATAATATATTATTAGCCATTGCCATCTAACTTGCAATGATTGAGAATTACTTCTCCCTTAAAAGATACTACTATTTGTTGGTTATGAAAAATATATGTTGATGGAGTGAGTTTAAGCAGGGTGGGATAGTGGAATAGAATGTCCTCTACTTTTTCATCTGTTAGCTTGTAAAATGCGGTTGTGATGTGCAAAAATTAGTTTGTCGGAAGTCTTTTGTCGGTTGATCAGTAGTTTATTTTTGCTTTTCATGGAGGAGTTGCACGGATTTCATTCTAAGCTCATAGTTTATTTTTGCATGAAATGGTGATATAATGAATGTATGCATTGCGCCTTTTCAAAGATTTGTGTTCAATTCTTCTTAGTAAGTAGGGAGTGTGAATGTTGGAAGCCGGACAACGGGGAGCAACCCAACCCACGGAGCTGCTATTGGATTCCCTAATGTGGGAAATAAGGGACTGGTATTATTAATTACATGCTACAAAGCTGGTTTTATCACCTTTATATGATGCTAAAAATTCGTCAAAAATTTATTTTGCCATTGATTCCGCAGTTCAACTAAAGTTTTGTATTGTGAAATGTTTTATGGAAAAACGGTGCAATCCTATCAAAGAGTGATTCCTAAACATTTAAACAGGGGTACCGAGAAGGTGTATACAGGGGTGTGGTGGAGGAGGATCTAAAATGAAGCCCAGAAATGTGGCAATTTTAACCTTTCATGTATATTCTTATACTTTCCACAAAGCACTCTCATTAGTCCTAATTTTGGGGCTGGGGCATTTAACACAAATTTAACATCACGTTGAGCTGTATTAGACAGATTTACAGCAATGGAAGTCACATTTTCTTGGGTCAATGGCATCTTCAAGCAGGAGAACACGCATTTAATCACGCAATCATATCAAATGTTCATCACAAATAGACATCACATGCAACTGAAGATGAAAATAATAATTCATGTGAAGTCCAAAGTTACACTGGAAGGGAAAAAAAATAAAAATAAAAAGAGAGAGAGAGAGAGAACAATTTTCACATCAGTCTCTCAAGACATTTATTTATGCTCTATGAAAGAATGCAGCAACAGGGGTGTTAAACCCTCTACAAACAAAAGAATCAGAAAACTAATGCTAACTTTCTTCTTCCGTAAGTGTAGATGAAAACAACTCATCTAAGATAAGTGTCCCCTTTTGTTCATCATCATCCTGAATCAAGTGAACTTAAATCAGCATAACTTTCAAGGTAATACCATATATTACGCACACACACACACATGTATACAGAGAGAGAGAGAATTACCTGAGTTGTTGAATCCTTGCAATATATAATGGCTGATTCTAACTTCTCGTCCCGTTCTTGATCATTCATTTGGCTATAGTAGTTACAATTTTTGCGTAAAGAGTGAACACTTGTAGTAGTAGTAGTAGTAGTGTTTGTAGATGCATGAGAAGAAATCATGCGTGGTTTTCCCTTGTCTTTGAGGTGTTTAGAGTGAGTTGGATTGAAACATGTCAAGTACTTTCTAAGGTTTCGTGTCACTGATTTCCACAATCTTTGATGATTACACGTCGCAAAATCGACGAGGAAAGGCGAACGAGAGTAGTTTAATTGTCGTGAAGCAGAGTGGTTTTTTGATAGAGATGATGAAACTGTGTGATTTGATGATGAGGGTACGAGGGTTTTGTTTTTCATGGTTGAGGAATAATTTCAGATTCAAATCTCGGCTATTACATCTACCAATGTATACATACATTTCTTTTGTAATTTGACTGCTACACTATTAGGTAAGTTTTTAATTTCTGCTCCTTTTAATGCTATAAATTCGTTTCTTTCTATATATATAAAATTTTACTTGTTAAAACGTGCCAGGCTAAACTTCGTAATTTTTAAAAATGAGAGAGGCGAGCCAAGACTCGGAGACTTGCCTTAAGTCCTTTTTATTTATTTTATTTTAGTTTTTTGGTCTTTGGTTTTTTTTTTTTTTTAAACCTATTGAACAATGCTTCTACTATCCTTTCTAAAGTGGATGAAAATCATACGATTTATTGCGTTTTTAAAAACAAGTATATTCATATTATAAGTAATTGTTATTTTATTTTATTAAACAGCTTGTGTCTTTTATTTCTATATGTTTTTTAACACGATGAAAGGTTGCTTCTTTTCTTTTTTATTTTCCTTTTAACTTTTCTAAACATGTATATTTTTTTTTATATTTTATTTTATCTTTATTATTATTATTATTATTATTTTTATCCAAAGTCCAAACACGTGTTAGTCCAATGAGCGATTTTCTCCACCACCAAGTCAAAAAGTAATTATGAAAAGACAGGCGTCATATTAGTTACAATAACCTAATGGGCTCTAGGTTTATGATTACTAGGGTAGTAGTAATATTTTATTGGGATTATTTTCCGAAAAATATATATATATATATATATTTTTTATTGGGATGGGCCTGTTGAGGTATGTTTATGGGCTATTAGATTGTAGAAGTGATCACAAATGTTTTGGGCTCTCCTTATATATATATATATATATATATATATATATATATATTTTATTGGGATGGGCCTGTTGAGGTATGTTTATGGGCTATTAGATTGTAGAAGTGATCACAAATGTTTTGGGCTCTCCTTATATATATATATATATATATATATATTTTATTGGGATGGGCCTGTTGAGGTATGTTTATGGGCTATTAGATTGTAGAAGTGATCACAAATGTTTTGGGCTCTCCTTATAGCTGAATTTTGTACGACCGATCCACATCATCTCTTCTAAAATGCTCTATCCATATTTCAATTTGGGATTGATTTTTAATTTTTTTTTATTTTTTATATGCATCGAGACTTGATATTTTATGAAGCACCAGATACAAAGTCTTTTCCAACTAAATCAATTCTTGAGATTATTAGAGATTGACTTTGATACTAGCTCAAATGTTTCCATTTATTTGAAAATGAAAGTAACTTTTCTTTCTCAGAATATACGGTACATATTTACATCCAAATTTAAAAACAATTTACATCTAAATTTAAGAACAATGAAATGGATCTCTACTTTTTAATCGTCCTTGAAATTTGTACACCGCAAAGTGCCTATCAAGGCCAAAGTACATTGTTAATTTTCCTTTACTTTTGTCTATTAATCAAATTTGCTTTCACACAGGATTAAAAAAAAAAAAACAAAAAGAACGTAGCTTTCAAGGGGACGAGAGTATTGCTAGTCTTTCAATAATCCAAATGACGATTAGTCAAGCCAAACCATGTCCTCACGACCGTGACTCGCACTAAGCATTCCAGCCGCGAAAAATATGGCGTTTGACGTCACTAATATTTTCAATATAATCTCACACACACACACACATATATATATGATTCATAATTTAATTTTGACATCAATAACAAAATCAATGGTCCACACTCCACACCATTTGTGATATTTTTTTATGAAGGTGACATTGGTGTAAAAATATAAGTTACTCCTCCTTATTTTATTATCATTTAGCATAACTTATTAAAAGGGTTAAATTGGATAAATATCCTCTTCTTTTTTTAAAAAAAATATTATTTGTACTAATTTGATGTGTACATTTAAAAGTTAGATGGAAAAATTGAAGCCACACAAATATAATCCAATCGTAATCTATTAATGAAAAGGGTAATTGGCACGAGCACATTGGTCCAACGTTAAGTGCTAGTGGAATTTCAATAATAATTATAATTATAATACCCTTTAAGTTGTTTTCATCGAAAGAGTCTAAACAATAATTAAGGGTTATTAGTCAATTCGGTCATTATCAAACTGTATAATAATCCAAGTCCAAAACCTAGTTGATTTATTTAGTACGAGCAATCTTCGAAGCTAAGTAAAACCTAATACATACATACAGTAATATTTAAAACAAAATGTTGATTTAGTCAAAATGAGTGCAAACCAAAATTAGGCTGAGAAAAGCATTGGCCTTTGAAAATGACATCTCCACTCAAATGTATCAATTACTAAGGTTGACGGTAACCTCCATCTGACAGGTTGCTCTCATTTTCATTGACAAAATGCATTATTTTCTTTTATTTATGCGAACGAGATTAGGAATGAATGAACTTTCAATAAACGATCATCCCAACTTTTCTTCAAGAAATCAGCTTTTTGATTTTAATTTAGTCTTATCAAACATTAAAAATGAAATGAAATGAAAGAGATAGACTGTAGAATATGCATTCCATTTATATTTTTTACAGTCATAAATATAATTAAAAAAAATATAGGAGAATGGATTTTTTTTTTTTTTTTGATAATTAGAAATATGGAAACCCTCAACAACTCAATAGGATTATTATTATTTTTTAGTTAGTGGTTAGAGGGTAGGGTGTAAGGCTCAAATACAGGCTTTTAGACAAGAGGTACAATTCAATTACTCCGTCAACACGATACTTACGTCTCTCCATAATTTGATTTGATTTTTAACTTGTTCATGAATGTTGATTTAGTTAAATCTTTCATGTTCATTGATCTCATGTCCTTAATTTTCGGAGTAAATGTGCTAAAAGTAGTGAAATTTCATGACAAATATAAATTTGCCCCGCATTGTCATGTGGAAAAGGAAAAAATGCACCCAAGAGAATTTTGATTCGATTTTACAAATGGGTAGACCTGACCGCATTTGATATTTTCCTTAAATAACGTTCAAAGTTTCCACAAATTTAAAGTTTTCCATGGTCAATTCATTTGTTTCATTTCATTCAAAATGGCACACGACGTGACATAGAAGTAGTTGACGAACATGACTGCATTTTTTCTAGACCAAAAAACACCATTTCTTCACATGCTCTGTCAATTTTCCATAACATTTATGCATTTCAACAGGAGGAACATTATCTTGCAATAAATGTAGAATCGATTACTCCATATTATATAAGCACAATTAATTTCCGGAAAAAAATATATTTTTATGTGACACTAATGAACCCTTTATATATTGTTAGACTTATTTTTTTAATTAATCAATTATACAATAAATAAGAAAATGAAGTCATTTACTTAATTATATTTAATATAAATAATTAATTAAATATTATTCAATTAAATAATTGATTGTAAGTAAGTGCACGGTGTGACGTGAATATCACTACTATTATGATACAGTGGGAAAGTGATTGAAAAGCTTAAAACGTAGAACTTCAAATACAAGAAAAAAGACTTTGTAAAATTAGAACTAAAAGTCAAACTTATATTTAGTCCATGGCACCAATTCTTGCAGTGATTAATGATGGTACAGTCCAGCTCCATTTTTCAGAATAGTGACTATCTTCTCCTATATATATATATATATATATATATATATATATTAATTTTTGATTTTACCGACAAGACTTGCTCACATTATCGCAATAAAAATTTAAAATTTCAACCTTATATTCTGTAATTTAAGGTTGAATTTAACTTGACCAAAAAAACAACCCTTGATAAAATCTTCAGTGAGAATTTAAGGAGTCTTAATGCTTATGTTAATGTTCATAATCAAAATTTGCAGCTCATCTCTTGGTTGCCCTGTCCAGAATTCTAATCAAGCATGCAGTGAGGCTACGAATCTCTTTTTAGATGCGATGTTGAAGGCTAAAAGGCCTTTGTATTTTGCAATCAGCCCAATTTTGAGAATGAGTAGAGAGAAAGTAAGATAATGACTAACAAGCTTTTAAATTCTATTTTTAACATTTCCAAAAAAAAATTTTCCTTTGTATTTTGCTAACATGTTTTTCCCTTTTTTCTAATAAATATTGATTTACCGAAAATAGAGCATCAATTATTCATCGTCAAGCACTTTTTATTATTTAAATGTAGGAATGAAATTTGATTTGTATAATAAGCTAGTGACTAGATTTATCGAAGATTATTGTTGTTGCATAATTTGAAATTGATATATAATTTTATATGATGAGGGTATAGTAGTAAAATCAACATAAAATTCTCTCTTCTTTTTTATCAAACAAAAAAATAGTATTATTATATCTATTACATATACTTACTCGTTACATCTATCAAAACAATAATAATAATAATAATTAAGAGAGACGCGTTCCCTTCTCTAAAAATATCTCCCTTTTCTAAAAATATCTCACAACCCTTTCACACGAATCCTCATTCTTCCTTCTATTCACTTTTTTTTATCCCTTTAACCAAACAAAGTATAAGTACAATTTCTTAAAGAGATATGTATTTACGAAAATACCTAATGTCCTGACTTTCCCGACATTGAAGGTGAAGGGAGAGGAGCCGTATCAGGAAGTCGACACCCTAGCATTGTTGAAGCATTTAATTCTTGTCCTACTTCAAATTTACAAAATTTACTCAATTAAATATAAAATATATTTTATTTATGCTTTTAAAATGTTTAGAACTTAAAAGACAATTTAAGAAAATTAAATCTTATATTACTTTTATTTTAAACAAATTAGAGATTCATATTAAGAGTTAATGAACAAAATATTAGGGAATCAAAAGTAGCTCGGTCGCATGAATGAACTATCCCAGCTCGTATTAAAGGGAATTACTACCATCTTTGAAACAATGCACACGTGGCAAATGAATAGCTAGTACAATTCTTAATGGAGAATGGGGTAACTGAATCAAAATGTCTCTGGAACTGTGGGACATTGTCATTGAAATTGAAGGCATTTACATACAACCACTACATTCATCGACCTGCCGACAATGCTTGGTTTGGATACAAAAACAAGGAAAGCAATTTGGAAAGCAATTTAGCAAATGTGAAAGATAACATGTACTCCTATTTTACATTTGTAGTATTTCTTAATTTATAGTTAAAACTTTCCACGTCTTAATTTTTTGTTTAGGTAAAATAGTTTAGAGTCAGAATTTATCCTCTTTTGTCACTGGATTTTTTATTCGATTGAGAAGAGCAATCATAATTTAGCCCCACCATTCGCAACTTGCAACCTTTGTGTTTTTTAATTTTATTTCTAACACTAGTGTGGAAAGTTTATGCTAAGATCCTTTTGAAAATGACCCATCAGTAAAAAAAGAATCACGAGGAGGAAACTTTATAGAAGAAGATTCATCATATATATCTTAATTTCCAACACTCAAGAAAAGTGTGGAAATTAAAATTGTGAATAATGGACATTTTCATCTCAAAGAAACAGTAACCATAAAATGAAACTAATTAGGTATAGCATAAAACATATAACTGCCCTCTCAAACTCAAAATATAATACGTACATGAAAATAAGACACTCTAATTTTTTTTCTCAAAAGACTTATATATTGAGATTGTCAAATATAACAGCTCTCAAAGTATCCCTAATGCAAAATGCTATATTTTTATGCCAAATCTATATTTTGAAAGGAGTTATCGTGTCAAAATGCTATATTTTTACAATTCTGATTTAATGGTACATTTTATCCAAAATACTATTTTTTGACACAACGACCATTTCATATTTTGAGAGCCCATTAAAGTGTTATTTTCACTTTAGCAACTTTTGACAATATAAAATAATAAGAGGTCTTTTAAGAAAGCCAATTGGAATGCCTTATTTGTATTCACCTACTATATTTTAAGTTTGAGAGTCCATTTGAGAGGTCATTGGAGATGTTCTCAAATAGCCTCTCAAACTCAAGTACTCACCACTCACTTTATTTTTATTTTTTAAACTGCATAAAACACTAAAACAAGGCATCTTATTATGAGACGAGCCTTTGATATTTTCTTTCGAAATGTTCTTACATTTGGAATATATATAGTAATATGGTAGTTATTTATTAAATGTCAACTTAAATTGATTTTGGTGAAAAAAAAAAAAAAAACACTTATACCATGATTTTTTATAAAATAAGATAAAGACATATATATATATACACACATATATATATATGTGAGAGATTCAAAAATATCATAACCATGAATTTTTATAAAATTTAAAAATAAAAACTTATAAGATTCTATAAAAATATGGATATAGTATACCCAAAAAAAATCCAGTGACGTCCACCGTAATATCAAAACAAAACCCCTCTTCCCTACCCCGAAACATATTTCACACTTGTTTTTTTATTTTTTATTTTTTTATAGTCAAAAGATATTTCACTTGAATAACAAATATTTGTTTTAGACTATCTTCAATTATTTATTTATTATGTAGAAAAAGCTTTTATTGTGACATAAATTTTAATTTATTTCAACATTATAAATCTTAATCCCAATATTTTTTCATTAAATTGTAATATGCTACACACACACATATATAAATGAAAAAATCTACTTCTCCCTAATTATGAAATGATTTTACTATATAATTTGATAAATTTCTCTTTTTAAATTTTATAAAAAATTATAGTACTGATATTTTTAAATCTTTCGTATATATATCTTCCTTTATCTTATTTTATAAAAACTTATGGTACAAATTTTTTTTTTTTCTTTTTAACCAAAATTAATTTAAGTTGACGTTCGATAAATAATTACCATATTACTATATATATTCCAAACACAAAAACATTTGAAAAGAAAAAATCAAAAATCTCATTTCAAAATAAGAAGGCTTGTTTTAGTGTTTTATGCGAATTAAAAAAATAATAATAATAATAATAATAATAATAATGAAGAATGGATACTTTAGTAACATTAATATACTGTTTTAATTTTAAATATAATTTCGATCGATAATTTTATCACACAATCACGCAAATGAATGTTTCATGTAATATTTCATGTTAAGAGTAATTTTATTTGAAAATTTTTCTTACACAATCACTCTAACAGAATTAGAGAGATTAATTAAAATAACTTTATCATAATTAAAATAAATTAATTACTAAAAATATTCATAAAGAGTTATTTTACTAACAAAGATTTATTTACAATTCGCCCTATTATTATTTATTTTTTTTGTTAATGGTTAATTCCTCTGACCAAATTCAAGACGACCATAAGTTTACAGGCTATTTTTTCTAGGGGTCATAATAGCTTTGATAAATGCCACCTACTAACTAGCACCTCGCCTCTAAAACAGAAAAATCGACATTACCTGACTCGTCTCCCCGGTACAGCACAGGCATTGGATGGCTGAGATTATTTCAGCCAGTGCGGAATGATCTCAGCCATCCATCCAATGCAGTTCATCACTGTACTGCAGCGTATCTCTTAAGTTCTGACTGTCTAAATTTAGCAGAAGAGTGAGAGGCCGCCGAGCAATCAATCATGATGACAAATTCATCAACATCTCAAGATCAAGATGGCCATGGAATCAGACGGTGATGGATCAGTTTTTCCCAAAATCAGTCGCAAACATACACAAAATATTCTGATGCTACCACAAGCTAAAAAGGAAGAAGACTGAGAACAACCTCATGAGAGCTGCTTCTTTACTTGGTTGCGTGCAGGAAGGGTTATAGACAGAATAATACTACTAGTAAGTAAGGATTGACAATCCATGCCCGTCTTTTTGTCAGACTTTTCTTCACCATTTAATCCGTGTGTGTCCCACATCCATCACTCCGTGAATCAGAGCCAGAAATTCTCTCCCTCTAATAACCAATGTGGGAAAGAAAATAAGAGAAAACCTCGTGTCCCTGTAACACCACCAGCTGCCTCCACCAACACCACAACCAGCTTGTACCCTTCAACCGGTACATCCTCCGTTACCATATATATATATATATATATATATATATATATATAACTAAACATATACGGAGTACTATAATTATATATGCTTTACCATCCATGACATGCAAGGTTAAAATAGAAGACAGTTGGATAAAACCATGAATTGATGAAACACATTTATAAAACCATGCATTACATTAAATATTTGCATAAAGTAAATATTACAACAACATAATCAGTTAATTGAGATGAACATAATATAATATAAGAGACCAAAACAAAAAAAAATGAAAAAGGGAATTACCATTTTCTGCTACCTCTTGGGTAATCTACAATCTTCTTATGTACAAAATTGTCTTCTTCCAAACACTAGAGCTTTTCTGTTTTAATTTCTCAGAAAATCCAATCCCCCCCAAAAAAGAGATTCTACTCTTCACCCTTCGTACTCCAACACTACCATTTATATATATATATATATATATATATATTTTTATAAACTTCAAAATGTTGCTTCCAAAATTATGATCTCTCCTCTATATTCTTCTTAGTATTCACAGGGGGGAGAGAGAGAGAGAGAACAAATTACCCCAAACAGACAAATAATCATAAGCAACCAGAATCACCAAGAAAGGATAATCCACAAGTACCAGGACCACTTCATTTTAGTATTTTACCAGCTCTGAGACCCACCCAACATCAGGACCCTGAAAAGATGGTGCCGGGTCGACCCGATCCAGAGGGTTCTCCTTGCTCAGCTTCTCAAACATCTTGGCCCTCAAGTCCCTTCCAGACTCGACCCTCTCCATCACAGGCTCCTCCTCACAGCACTCCTTATCCCAGAGATCAAGGTACCCGATTCCAGGTTGGGTCACAGCCCGAGTGGGGGTTGATGGCAAGCTGCAGAATCCGGGTCGAGTATTGGACAATCTTGGAGAACCAAACCCAGAAGTACCCATCTGAAGACCCCAAGAAGAGGGCATGGATTTGACCTTGCTAAGCTGCAACTGACGGAGAGACGCCACTATTTCGTTGATCGAGTTAGAACCCAAAGACCGACTCAGTAAGTTAGTCATCGGCGGAGATTCAGACGGCGGCGAAACCGACTCCGGCGACGACATAAAAGCCAACCCTTTCGCACAAGACCCTTCTAAAGCCAACCTATGCGGCGACCCATCATAAGTCTCGGTCGAACCAGGAGTCCTCGGACTCAGAACCCTTAGTTCTTCCGGCGTGTGAGCGAAGAAACACACTCGCCGGCAACAGTTGGTCCCGTCCTTGCAAGGCTGCGTACGGTAGCGAGCCGGGTGCAGCCAGCACTCAAATACGCCGTGCGCGAACTCGCATGCGTCCGCTTTCTTGCAGTTACCTTTTCGGAAGTCCGGACAGGCCGTGCCGGAATAGTGATACTTGCGCGGGTCCCTCCGGCGAGCCTTCTCTCCAGGATGAGCGTACGGACACTCGGTCCAATCATGTGACCGGCCACGTGCGCACTTCCTTATCTTGAACTCGAACATGAAAAAGTGATCCCGAGAATACCCATCAAGCGGAGGATCAAGACCCATAATATCAGAATCGGAATCTCCATCGTCGTCGTTCGCAGGAAGAAAACGTTGGAAATCCGTTAAGGTTTCATTCAGGTGGTAAGGAGGGTAGTCTTCGACATTGGCGTTGGGGTTAACGGAGATGCCGCTAACGGGAAAGGGAAAGGAGACGTCAACCGTTGAGTTGTTGATGACGGTCCACGGAGGAACATGGACCGTCGGATTCACATGATTTCGCTCCCCGATCATCATCTTGATAAGTTGTCTCTAGATGTTACAGCAACGAACCGTCTTGCTCTGATTTGTATATAAACTGCTGGAGGAGTGGGGTCTTTAACCATCGTCCAGTTTTTAAACCATGGTTAGGTTAAAAAAGAAAAACAACAGGCTACATTTCCAATTTCCAAATTCCACCGCGGTTAAAATAATGAGAAACGTTTTGTTCACCATGACGGTTGGCGGTGATATCTGACTGTTGCCTTAGATTTATGCCACGTTGCATATGGACAAGATTTCTTATCTTTAATAAGGACACGTGGTTCTTTAATATTAGTTTCGGAGGATTTCTACGTGACGGGCCTGACTAAGTTGCATGTTCTAGAGGCGGTGGATGGTTCTGTACGCAAGAATATAGTAGACTAGACCGCCCCAAAGATTGCTTTCTAAAATTGTGACTCATAATATGACTCACAATTTTAAAAAATGATATTTAAAATAGAATGAAGGTAATACTATTAAAGAACAAAAGAAGCAAAACATTCATATGTTCTTAAAAAATGTGAGATTTCATTTAACTTTTAATTTAAAATATTTTAACTTGACACAGTTAATGCTTTCTAGGTTCGGTTTTAAAGAAATTAATTTACATTTTCACAGTACCAGACCAGGGGCCCAAGGATGAAGAACAAATACGAAAAAAAGAAAAAAAGAAAAAAGAAAATAGAAAAAAGAAAACGTTTAACTCGTGATTGGTTGGTGAAAAGACACGGTGAGATATGAAAAAGATTAAAAAAATAAATATAGAGCAAGCCTGTAAAAAGAGACTTTGAATAAATTCGTTTTTTAGAATCGAAGCCTTCAATCTTTTACTTTGATGATGAAGAAAATAACTATTGTGCTTTTAAAAGTAGTTGCATTTTACTATTTTCTATAATCATCATATAACGCTTCTTTGCGGGCAAGATTTTATAGTGACTCAACCCCCATTGAATTTTTTTTATTACTAATTGTATAAACTTTTGTGCTGTCTGACCAAATTGAAAATTATGTACGGAATATTTCAAGTATTGAATTTTAAGTTTTGAAAATTTTTTAAATGCTGAATATATTAATTTGAAAACTAATTGATAATATTTTAATATTAAATTCTAAATTCATTAAAATTGTTTGTCAAATACAAAAACTGAAGTATGAAAGTTGTACACATTATATTTTTGCCGTCAATATCTAATACTCATAACAAATTTATATTTATAATATAAAAATAATAATCATAATGAATGTTAATGTCAAATATAATTATAAAAAAAAAAAATCAATTCAATCTCGAATAATTAAATTATTCAAGAAGTACTAATTCACATAATTTAAACGTGAGTGTCTCAAAATTGTTAAATTAAGGTAAACATAAAAAAAATTAAGTTCAAGAACTAAACAAATTATTTTCAAATGCAACAGCAATAAATAAAATTTTACATATATAACCTCCAAATTACATAATATTTATACAATCCACTGTGTATCAAAAGGTGTTACAAAGATTGATATTGCATGTAAAAATAATCATATTATAAAATTAGTTGTGCTCTACACCGAATCAATTTGAATGGGTAACTAAAATGCTATATCTGCCGTGCTTAAAAGATGGTATGTAGAATTATATATTTATATTATTTTTTAGTAATTTGTTCTATCATATAATTCATTCTCATTACTTAATGAAAAATTATTTAGAAAAAGTAATAAAAAACCAAATATATATATATATATAAAAGAGATTTCCAAAAGAGATAACTTACCTATAATGCTTTGTTTCATGAGAGAAGCCCTAAATAAATTATTTAAGGGTAGAGCAGTCATTAAAGGAATATTTTTAACACCCATGCACTTTAACATCATATGCGATACCCTATGCAATAAGCTATAAGCAACATTCCCCTCACTTAAAAAATTGGTCTCTTTTAAGTAATACTTACCATATTGAGCGGTATTCTAAAATTATATCAAACAAATTCATTTTTAAAAATCTCTTATTGTGTGTTGGAAATGGGGGCATTAAAAGCATAAATTTTAGATAAAATTTTGAATAGATTTCGCTAATAATTTTTTGCGCATCTATAGACGAGCGCATTTCTCTCCGCAAGGAGATGAACGTGGTATATTTAATTAGCTCCAAAGTAAGGTGTTTGATAAGCCTAAATGGGTTTGCAAAATATGATAAATGTTTGTCCCACGTCAGAAAAATATTAAAACCTAAAGGTACCATAAGGCCTATATAAACTCCCTATTGGGTTCATTCCAAAGTACTCCAATTCAGAATCATTTTCTCTAATTCATTATCTCCTTCCTCTTCTTCTATAAGTTTCTGTAGGTACGAACCCTTATCTTTGGGTTTGAGCCTTAGTCAGTCACTCCTAGTTCAAGTTTAGTCAGTAGAGAGAACTATATCAAACCAGTTCGCCTATTCTTTTGGTTTGCAGTACTATTACCGGAAGAAGTAAAAGTTGTTGTATCCTGAGAGATAGACGTCATTGAGTCCGTTAACACTATAGCGGGGCGAATCTGCCTTAAGACATAGAATCAAATTCCAGCCTTGACTTATTTCCAGGTATGAATTATTATTTTATAAGAATAATACACACACACACACACACACATTATATTTATGCATAATATTTAAATAGGTAATACTATAGTGTATAGTTAAAGACCATATTTTTTGACTACATTGTGTTTTACATTCAATGCTAAATTGAGAAATCAAAGAGACCCTTACTAGAACCCTATATATTTTTCTGAGTTCATCCCTGCTTATTTGTAATCAATAAAATTTGCAAAAAATTATAAACATTTCTCAAATCTTCCATTACCACAATTGATCATTTGAATGGAATGAATGTGATTTAAAAAACGAAAAGAAATGAAACAGTTGTTTATGCTTTGTTTAGTTAGAAGGATGGAAAAATTATAGAATGGAGACAAGAGAGACGAGGCATTACTGTAGGAGGGAAAGTTTATCATTTACTTTTTTTCTAGTTGAAAGGAAAAGATAGCAAAAAATAAATATATAATAGAGTGACAACTATTTTTGATTTGATTGGAAAAAAGAAAAAAAAGAAGAAGAAAAGAGTATTCATATATTTCTACCAATATACCTTGGCTAACTAAATTGATTTGCATTGTCCACGTACCATCTATTTGTGATGAATGATATATTATACGAATTTTGTTTTATTATGTAATTTTTTATGAATCATGATAGTTGTACACATAAATTTTATAATCTGCAAATAAGAACAAAATATGGAGCAAAAATAATATTTTATTAAATTGAAAAAATTGGAGTACAATCATCTGTAATATTCTTTACAAAGAATAAGATCCTCTGATTCGATCTCGTTTTTTTTTGTTGGTTGAATTCAAGGGCTGCACGAGCTTGATCTTGAATTACCGTGGAATTTGGATGAAGAACGGCACGACTTTGGATGTGCTTATTGTTCTTCGTCTTCAGAGTGGATCTGTTGAATTGGTGAAGAACGGCATGACTTTGCATGTGTTTGGTGTTCTTTACCCTCAGGTTTGCCCTCTGGATTTCTGATTCTCTCAATTTATGGACCTTTTGGATTTCTAAGTCTCAGGATTTCTGGACTCTGAATTTGTGTCCCTTCCTTCTTCCCCGGGCCTCTATTTATAGGTTTCTTGGATCCATAAGATGGTGACACATGTCCTCTCTTGATAAGGACAAAATCATAACTGGGCCGAACCGATTATATTATGATAATTATCCTTAAAAATAATTATTCCAAATATATTTTATTAGGAATAATTATTTTTCCATTTAATCATCAGGGCTGGGCTAATTAAATAATTTAAGTAGACCAAGCTTGGGCCAATTAAATAACTTAATTAAACATTGACCAATATTTAATGGGTCCATTTGTCAAAACCAAAGCCCACTAAAATTTTAGTGTCTACAAATTGTCCCCACTTCGAGTCCTAAATTTGACAAGACTTGTCTCCTTTTTCAAATGAGACTTGAAGTATTCAACTTGGTCTTTGAATTACAAAAGACTTTCCTATCCAACTTTGGATTATAAGATTTCTTCTTTCCCTTTTCTATCCAACTTTGGATTAGAATTTTACTTTCCCATTTAAACTGAATTATACAAATCCTAATACAAATAGGAGATATTTTGTTGCCTATATATATTACCAATGTTATAGGGTTTGCCATCAATTCCAAAGCCTCTGAAGACTTGTTAGATTGCAGCCTCTACTTGAACAAATAATCGGTATGATTTTTCTTTTCTTTTTTTTTTTTCTTTTTTTTTTTCCCCTCTCTTTTTTTTCACGGATTTTTTTTTTTCCTTTTCCTTTCCTTTTTTTTTTCCACTTTTTTTTTTCTACTTTTTTTTTTTTTTTTTTTTTTCACGCTGAAATTTTTTTCCCCCCAAAAAGGATACCACAACTCACACCCATAGAGCTCAAGTTGTTAAAGTTTCTGGTAGCTGCAATTGGGTTGAACAGATTGAAGTTTCGTCGGACTTATTTTATCTCTAAAACTCGCCGGAGCTTCTCGCCAGATTTTTTCGCCGAAACTGAGGTTTGCCTAAACGGAGCCCGCTGAAACTTTTGGGTCTGTTAATGGTGGTTAATCCCTATTCTGAACTAAAGCTCGCCGGGGTTCATGGAGTCTATTATGGGTTTCATCGGTCTTCGTTGATGGAGTTCTTCAGTGCTACTACTAATTTACGCATTACCCCGATGTGAACTTTATCGTGTTTTTTTAAGTGCAGAACTTCCTAAGAATCAGCTCTCCTGTTACAAATCCAAAAACGACATAGAAGTTGTTCCATGCAATCAACACCGACTCAAATCAACTTTGCCTCCAAGCTGGCCTTTTTCCTTATTTGTGGCGGTCAACCTTAATCAGTAATCTAACTGAATCCATCTCTTCCACTAGAAGCTTTGATCTCAGCGAGGACAACCACGATCCACTGGTCTTCAATCGCGTTGTTACAGAGTGGGTTCCAGTTTGCTACTGCTCTCATGAGACAACAAACTATATTTGAATTTAATTTCT